TTGCGGCCCTCGTGGCAAGCTCGAGACCCCGTCTCCGGAATTCTTCGTCAAGGCTCTCCCAAAGGCTGACGCGGCTACACAGACGACACCGGCAGCGAGGCCGAGGACCCGACCGAGCTCTTCACCGCGACGTCGGCGTCCAGACCTCGCTGCCCTCGACCCCCGGCGGGCCCCTCGACGCGAGCGCCGCTGCCGCCGCCCCCACGCCTGCCGCCGCACCCCGAAGCCCACGCCCGCCGCCTCGCCGACCTGACGGCCTCACTGCGCGGCCTCAAGGACGCCTACGTCACGCAGAGCGAGGAACTCGCCGACGTCAAGACGGCCATGGACCTCCTCAAGGACGACCTCGGCCAGCTGACGTTCCCGAGCGCCCAGCAGCAGAGCGACTTTGTCGGCGGCTTCTCGCTGTACGGGTCGTCGGCGGGGCGCAAGGAGCCCGAGGACGAGATCAAGAAGGCCAAGGACAACATTCGGCGCGTCAAGGGCGTCATGCTGAGCACGCGCAATTTCCCTACGTCGTCGAGGTGAGGTGTCGGAGGCGAGTTGCACGGGTGACAGGGGCTGTGGAGTGGAGCACTGAGGCGGTTTTGTATAATACCTAGGGAGATACCCACGGGTTGTGGCGGTTCTGGATAGTTTTCTTGGCATTGTGCCTCACGAATGCGTACGCGTGCGATCAACAATTGTATTTGAACTTCAACACTTCTCAAAGCTACGGTCACTGGGACTGGAGCAAATACACTACGGTGGCACAAGGAGAGGCTAGCAACTTCTTCTAATACACATTGTATCCTCCATTATTGAACATGCTCCAGTCGATACCAGCAACATCTCGATAACAGAAAGCGACGGCTGGCCCCTGTTCACTCTTCACCACTTGCAAAGTAGCATCGAAAGCAACATCAACAGCCCACCCTTACCCATGCCATCCAGGGAAGTCCAGCATATGCTTGCCTCAGCGCTTCTAGTGACTGGGCGTTGTCTGAGCGGACGTAGAGCTGCTCTCAGGCTCGTAAGTTTCCCTGTGATGCGTCGGCTTGCCGCCAACAGATGCGATCCTCAAACGTGCAAACATGCCCTCCCATGAGTCCACATTGATGTGTTCATAGTGGCGCCCTTCTGCTTTCTGCCGTGTGTACCATTCCATCGTCGGCGGAAATCTGTACGACATGTATTTGCGTGTCTTGTCGGTCAGTCGGAATTTTGAGACTTCTTGGAATAGCACGTTGCCGCATTTACTTCGTCCAACAACCTCCTGTAGCCCATTACCACGTGGGGCGTGGAATACAATCTTTTCAGGGGAGTCGTCCTCAATTGTCGCTTGCTGCTCAATGAGATCCGTAGCCGGTGCTTCATGCTGCATGTTGACTTTGCGCCAGCCTCTAACTGGCAATACATGTTCGGGGGCAGGTAGCCATTGCTTTGCGCCACTCAGCATGATCTCCAGCATCTCCAACGTTTTATCAAGGACGGTGCTGCGCTCCAGGCGCGGGGGGTCAAAACCGCCGAGCCAGACTTGCTGGAACGCCATGCTAGGGTTCTTTTCCGCCGAATTCTTCTCCACAAAGTCCACCAACGCTTTTTGGGCTGGCAAGAGGCTCCCAACATGCACCGATCGATCGCTCGCAACACGTTGAGGTGCTGCAATGTCCCAGATGAGAAGCTCCGTAGCCCTGCAGGGCTGTTGGTGTGGATTAACAACTCGCCAAATGCCGATCCAGGGGTGTCGTTCAGGTAATCGATCCTTGGGATACGCTGCCGGATCCCATGGCCCTTCTATTGTGTAGAAGAATGCAACGTAGGTATTGTAGCCTCTCTGCTTGGCAAAAGGATAAGTAAAGCTGAACCAATTTCGGTAGGTTTCGAATCTACATGTCGTGTCACCAAAGTGATCCGCCATCTGAAAACTGTCATTGAACCATGATACGCAATACGAATAGAGCTTCATAAACCCTCGAACGTGCGCAAACTGGTAGCTTGAAAGATATTGGGCGAAATCTTCACCGCCTGCCCTGCCTAGGATCTGAGACCGGGCGCCAGAATCGTCCTGTGCAGGAGGCACCTGAGCAGCGACTTGAGTCTCCCCGGCTCGGGCTGAGGCGAGGTCAGGATCTCCCGTGGTCCTGGCAGCGTAGCGCGGAATCCGTATGTCCCGAGAAGACCGGCTATAATCATTTTCGTGAGATCCTAAAATGTGAAACTTTCGATACGAATCCAGTTTGGTCAGAGACCAGTAACCAAACCAATTCCCTAGACTCTGTTCATCATTGGCGTCGATGCAGTCGTTTACATAGATGAAAGGCTCCTGAACTTCATCCATGAGTCGGCCTTCGGCAGATCCAATCAGGTCGAGAACTATTGACAATGCCTCATGTCTAGCGGCACAATCTTCCTGAGTGATACCTTGCTGCTTTGCCTGTGATTCGAGCGCCTCCAAACTTGAATGTCTTGGCTGACGCGAGAACAGTGTCTCCCTTTGAGATGTTTTCTCGTGGGCAAGATCTTGCAAGAAGTCAACAATGGACTCGCTAACAACGAGCTTGACATAAAACATAGGCGTGGCTATGCGTTTCGAATACCACGATAGAAGCCTAGTGGCTTGCACCGGCTGGGTCAGAAAGAAGCTTGGTGTGAGAAGGACAGCACTGCCATGAGGGAAAAGTCTTGTCAACCTGATTTGACCAGGCTTCGAAGACTGCTCGTCTATTGATGGCATTGGTGGATGAACCTGCATAGCCTCTCCCAGTTCCCAGATAGTGTATGCAGCATTTTTCATGTCGTGAAGTAAGGGGCCAATACCAGGGAAAAGTCTGATCAAGGGCGTGACAGTTTCGTGTAGAATGATGGTTCCGCTCTGTTTGCGCTCCGAGTCAGCAAATGCGCGCCAATCACCAGTTCTCTGGGCCGAAAAGAGTTGGCAGTCAGGATTTGCTTCTGTGAGCCAAGCCGCCACACTATTTAGCATCAGGTCCTTGTTTGGGGGAAAAGCAAGATAAAAATCATGTCGGTGTGGCTCCCTTAATGACCGTACTGGCAGAAGCTTGTCATAATCGAATCCAAACATAGACCGCATAATATTGACTCGGTTACTGGCCACGACCTTGTGCGAGACACCGCCAGCCATAATGAGCGGCTGTGCTGCTGGGAAATTTGGTTTGAACACCATGTACCTTATCATAGCACCGGGTGAAGTCTTGGACTCGGCGCCGGGTAAGCAGGCTGTCCAGTTCTCGCATTGAGAAGGGTACACGATGCACAGAAGTCGGCGTTGGAGTAGAGGATGCGAATGACAGATCGAAGATAATCTGCAGCCTCCTCCAGACTGTAGTCTGATCGTCGACGAAGTGTTCCATTACAAGACCCCAGCCGAAAGACTTTGTTTACACTGAGATTCAAAGTCTTTAGCTGTAAAGATCCTGTCAAAAATTAACGGGTTCGTGTCGATGAAATGACGAACCCAAGACTCTTCGGTCCTTGGCACGTCATCAAAAACCACGTCCACCTCCTGGGAGTCAGCAGGACCCAGGGTTATTCTTTTTCTGACTGTTTGTGTCTGGCTTCTGCTGAGCGCATGCCTCAGAGGAACCTTTTTGAGTGTTGAATCGGTGGCAAGCGTAGTAGACGGGCGTATTGGCAGCCCCCTGGATAGTCCTCCAACGAAGAGTTCTTCATCGTTGGAATCACTTGCCTCCGGTTCACTCACAAGTGACGAGTCCTTGTGGTTGTGGCTGAGCCCCGGCTTCAAGTGCTCGCTACTGGGTGTTTCTCCAGTGAAATGCACAGAACGAGATTTCTTTCGAATGCGTTCCCCCTGAGGCTTGTCATTATCAAACGCCTCGCTGTATGCCTTTTTCTTGAGCGATGACTTCGTTGCCTCAAAAGAGGACCTCCTCTCCTGGACTGGAGAACCCTCAACAGGAGTTTTCCCGGACCCGGAGGCATTGGGTGTGTGTGTTTTTGCAACACCGGTACTGATGTTGAAAAGCCCAAGTTGACGGAGGTTTCCGGGTGCCTTGTCTGCTCTATCCCTTATCTTGAGCTCAGCCTTTCGGGTAGTTTGATAGTTGTGAAAGAGCCTGGCCTCTTTTGTAGGATCGACCATGGCGTCAGTAAACTTAGGCCGCGTCTGTACCTTCTTGCCACTGATGAACACATTGCCGGTCACGGTGCGGCACGTAGTCTTCTCTCCGCCGACCTCTTGGCTTTTCTTTCATTTCAAGTTCGGGGTGGGCTGGGTTGGTTTGTGCCGTCTGGCTAGCGGTGGTAAATGGGTTAAGTGATGACAATGGAACGCGCGGATGAGGACGCCTTCCGGGCTGTGCCCTGATATCCAGTGGTTGTCGGAATGGTTGGCTCCCGGCGGGTCGAGGCCTTTCTTGGAGGTGCAGGGCGTTCTTGATGCGCTGCCTTTTCGGCAGGAGCTTTGCGTTTGGGCTTCAGATCGCTGTAGGGGCCACCAATATTGAGTTCGGCACGCGGCCTGGGTTGCGATTCGGACACGTCTGGCTGCCATGGCGGCGGGATAACATCGTTGGCGTCGTCGTCTCCGCCTGCCTCAGCGTCACTCGTGTCGTAGTCCTGCTCCTGTTCGTCGTCGTACAGATTCATCGGCATTCCCTGATGTTTGCGCTTCAAGTTGCGCTTCCTGTGGCGCTCTCGGTGGGCTACCTGTTTGGCTTCCTTCATAGCGGCGGCTTCGACTAACCATGCTTCGATATCGAATGGTTCTGCCTCGCCCCGGTCAATCTTAGCTTTCATCTCTGCCCACTCTTGAAGACCGACAGTGGTGATGTTTGTCTCTGGCTCCCAAGTCCATTCATCTTTATCGTATCCAGTCCACTGGATCAGATACCAAGGGTCACCCTCTTCGTTTGGAGCTTCGGAAAGAACTCTCTCAAAGTTCCACTGCGTATCCGAGTCGGGTTGGCTGACGATGGTTGAGTTGATGGACTCATTGTCAGAAAGTTCATCGTCGCCCGTTGTAGGTGATGTGGAAACCGCGTTACCTCCCCTGCCCATCCTCCCGTTTGCACCTGCAGTCGGCATTTTCGCTGATGTTTATCAAAGCCCCGCGAAGTCTTTCCCTGGTTCACCCCAACGAGGTGAAATAAGACGGAAGGCTGGTCGTCAGAGCAGTGTAGCTGCCAGATGACAAGACTTCAATTGCAGACAGCCATATATACCGTTCATCACTAATGCGCTTCCTGGAAGGAAGGTGTCAGCTGAGAGCGCAGGGTGGTGATTTGTCCGGGGTGCTGGAGGAGCGATTGTTGATGGAAGTTCGGGCACAAACAGGCCTGAAGGGTGCCTTCTGTGAAGGATGGGTTTGATCGTAAAACGATGGTCTGAATCCGGTGGAGGCCGGAGGCAGGATCAGCTGGTGACACTCAACGTTGAACAAGCGGTGGCTTCTGTCCTGAAAATGCTGCCCCTTTGGTAGCTGTCAGGGACGGAGAAATCTGACGGCAACGTGCGCTTGTTGTCGACGCGAAGATTGGTAAAGCTCGGTTCCGCCTTGCAAATGACTGAACCCACACGGGGGATGGATGGGCCCGATGATACGAGAGTCAAAGGCAACTGTTGATTGCAGCTACGTTCGTCAAAGTTTCGACTCGGAGAGGAAGGGGGGCTGTGGTAGCAGCTGGCAGGACCTCTGTAGGTAAGAAGACGTCTAGAGAGCTTGATTCTCAGCTCATAGGCAACAATCCTCAGGTTTCGCACGGGCAGGGGTAGAGATGATTGACATGTCACGTTGGTGGGCAGACAGATAGTTGTGACCAACGACCAGTTAGCCCGCCTCGAAAACGCCAATGGCCGCGTCAGGGCGCGCAAAAGCGCTTATCGTTCCGAGATGCCACAAGATCACAGACATGTCTAGTGTCTGTTGAGGACAAGGCTGTTAAGTGCATCAAGTAATGTCGTGTTAACTTACTCGTATGCTTCATCTCTCTTCTCCATTATGGTAATGGGGTAGTAACCAATAATCAGGACCATCATGTCGACTGCACAGGACCCTGCGTCTACCAATCACACCAAAAAGCCTTTGTACCACACTTACCTAGGTACCTATCTAAGGTACCGTAGGTACGCTACCTTACATTGACGAACTGGTGAGTTGCCGCTAAAGGGCGACAATCACGTGGCCAGGCAAGGCCGGTCGAGACATTCCGTCTCAGTGAAACACGCCCGAATGGCGAAACTGGCTCCCATTCCCGCCCCTGCCGGAGCCTTTCGGTGGTATGTGCGTTGCCCGCATGTTTGTCGGGAGGGAACCTCAAAAAAGAAACCCCAGCAGTGTTCGACGAGTGGGTGAGTGGCAGACAATGTCGTCGTCGAACCAGACAATAGAATGCATCCTGCGGATCACGATTGTTGCCTAACCGGTTCCCGCAAGAGAGGAAGACGAGGTCCCCTAGTTACACAGGTACTTACTTACTACCTAGGTATGTCCACGACACCTGGGGCTCCCCAAGCGTCGAGGGATGGGTAGGTGGTAGGTCCCTGGGCAGGTGGTAAGGTAGGGGTCACAGCGCCGGGTGGATGCAATGCAGCCCAAAGGCTCCAGTGTTACTTCCATTCCAGCACCTCGCTTGCCCGTCACATGTGTACCGCTCCAGGCCCTGCGTTGCTGGTTTACAGGCGGTACCTTGGACGTTTTAGCGCACCAGCCCCGCTAGTGGCCAATCCCGAATCTTGTGGGCGCCCCGTTCAAGCACTCTCCTGCGGCGCCTGGGTCCGTTCTCCTGCGCTGCACTCGACCTGGAAACTCACCCGCCCGCCTTTATCTCTCCCGCCTCGAGCCAGTAGAACCACTTGGCTTCGGCCTCCATACCTCGCAATTCAACCCCAACCCTTTTGCCCTGCGCACCCCTTCGCCTTTGCCTGCAATCCATCCATCGACAACCTCTCTCACAACATCGCGCCGCCAGCTTCTATCGCCCAACATGGCCAACGACGAATATGACGTGAGTCGACCCGTCCGAGTTCCCGTAGACCGCCACGGATCCCTGGCTGGATCGTCCCCCACCACGCCTCCGCCCCTCCTTGTGTGTCTGTCTGGCTCGTGCTGACTTGAAGCTGTCCACAGTTCCTCTTCAAAGGTGTGCACCCACTTGCCGTGCGCTGGCGACGACGGCCGCGACAAGGCGATTCCGTTCGACGACCAGTCGACGACCAGCCGACGACCGCAACACGACGGCTTGCTGACCTGTGTCCTTCCTAGTGGTGCTGATTGGTGACTCGGGCGTCGGAAAGTCCAACCTTCTCAGTCGATTCACCCGAAACGAGTTCAACCTCGACTCCAAGTCGACGATCGGTGTCGAGTTTGCCACCCGTTCCATCCAGGTCGACTCCAAGACGATCAAGGCACAGATTTGGGACACCGCCGGCCAAGAGCGCTACCGCGCCATCACGTCGGCCTACTACCGTGGTGCCGTCGGCGCCCTTCTCGTATACGACATCAGCAAGCATCAGACCTACGAGAACGTCACGAGATGGCTCAAGGAGCTGCGCGACCATGCCGATGCCAACATTGTCATCATGCTGGTCGGAAACAAGAGCGATTTGCGCCACCTTCGCGCCGTGCCGACTGAGGAGGCCAAGGCCTTTGCCAGTACGTCGATGCCCTCGTTGCGGTGTAGCCTGCATACGGAGCAGCATTGCGACCCATAATTGGCTAACACCCCCCTGCAGGCGAGAACAACCTCTCTTTCATCGAGACGTCTGCCCTCGATGCCAGCAATGTCGAGCTGGCCTTCCAGAACATCCTGACTGGTACGTCGTGCTGCCACGGTCTTGCGCCGCTGCGCTTCCCCCTTGATGATCCGCTGTGTGCCTAGCTCTCGCGGGGTGTGCCGCCTGTGACCAACAACGAAGACTGACCGCCTTGCTCCACAGAGATCTACCGCATCGTATCTAGCAAAGCTCTCGACTCAGGCGACGGCGCGCAGGCTAACATCGCTGCCGGCACAAGCCTGTCGCTCAGCAAGCCCGCAGACGAGAACGCGGACAAGGGTGGCAAGTGCTGTTAAAGGGGCCGTTACATGTTGTTGCTTGCGAGCTTTCTCAAGGTCCTTGGGCTGGCACGGGTTCGTTACGATATCATGGCGTCTCACACATATGTCCCGGAATAGTACGTCACTTGGCTGGGTGAACGGGTGGCCTGCATCGAGGAATGACCAGGAATGCACGAGTCTTCTTTCATGATTTTACTGAGGGGGCGGAGTATAGTCTTGACCTTTCCTTTTGTTGTTATTGTTGTCCTCTTCCTCCCTTTCCCCCCCTCGGACCGCGTGGGCTTTTAGGGATCTGATGCTTTCAACGATCGTTCAGGCATGCCTACGTACCTACTTAAATGAAGATGGTTTAATGTGTCAATCTGCGCTTCGTCCGCTGCACCCTGGATCTGGTTTATCTTTCATCATGTAGGAACTCCGACCAGGCAAGAGAACCATAATTAAGGTAGGGGAGTATCAGAGAGGCCGGCATGAGATGACGACACATCTTGAAGACGCCCTGGACACCCCTGTGGAAGTTAACCACGGTGCCCATGTACATATGTACATATGGTGAAGTGGGCTGGATGTCACTCATTGCAAACAGTATACCATCACCGAGAACAAGATATCGAGTTCCACAGCGCACAAGGTTGTCTGCATCTCGGGGTTTACGACACTGTGCTGAGAGCCCTCGTGACATATCTCTGCTGCGCCAGCCGAGGCGTCATCGACCACACGACAGTCCAGAGCCCCTCAAACTCTCCCCCCCCTCCCTCAAAGCAATAGACAGGCTCTCTCAAACAAGGGGTTTGGTGTCGCGACCAGGTCTAGTCTAGATTGGGTCTAGCCCATTCTGTCTGTCAGCCCCACTACATCAGATCCTCCTTATCGGGCGATAACAGCGGCCCCGTCTAATTTTTTTGGACCGACGAACTTCGCATTGGAGAAAAGCTAAGGCTGGTTTACGGCCGACGACGACAGTTAGATTGAACAAAGACACCCCGTCGCCTACAACCCACGACATCGCCGAACATAACCGCCCTTCCAATCGTTCCTTCGACCAATTGCCCCCGATGGCTTCGGTCTACAAGTCCCTCAACAAGAGCAGCGCCTCCAAGGTCGAGGCGCCCGCCAACGGTGTCCGCAAGAACAAGCAGAGGGTTCTCATCCTGTCGACGCGCGGCGTCACATACAGGTCAGTCTCGGCGCCTCTGGTCCTCTCATGATGGCTAACACCAGGGTCATGGTCAATACTAACACTCTGGCCCCCCGACAGGCACCGACACCTCCTCAACGATCTCGCCAGCCTCATGCCCCACGGCCGCAAGGATGCCAAGTTCGACTCCAGACGAGGCTCTACGAGCTGACGAGCTCTGCGAGATGTACACTGCAACAACATCATCTTCGGCGGAGGCGCGCAAGGGCAAGGATCTCTACCTGCACTTTGCCAAGCCCCCCAACGGTCCCACCATCAAGTTCCACGTCCAGAACAGTACGTCCTGCCTGCCTTGCCTGGCTCACCACTCCTTCGTTCAGTCGCGCGTCGCATCGTTGTCATGAGCGCCCGGCCGAACAAACAAGCAGAACACAAAAATAGCTAACACATGGATCTTCTTCCGCATTTACAGTGCACACCATGGAGGAGCTCCACTTCACGGGCAACTGCCTCAAGGGCTCCCGCCCGCTGCTCTCCTTCGACGCCGCCTTTGAGTCGGAGCCCCACCTCCAGGTCATCAAGCAAATGTTCACGCAGACCTTTGGCGTGCCCCAGGGCGCGCGCAAGGCGAAGCCGTTCATCGACCACGTCATGGGTTTCAGCATCGTCGACGGCAAGATCTGGATACGCAACTACGAGATCAAGGAGGTCGAGGCCACGGAGGAGAAGGAGGGCGAGGAGCTCGACGAGGCGACAAAGAGCAGCAAGAAGGCCGCGGGCAAGGCGCGCGGGCTCAAGGATACGGATGTCTCCCTCCTCGAGATCGGTCCCAGGGCTGTCCTGACTCCCATCCTCAGTATGTCCCTTTTCTCTTCCTGTTCTGCAGCACTGGCTTTGGGGGTTGTCCTCACCGCATTGCACGCATGCGGTTTTCCATGCGATGGAGACATGCCGATGAACCCCACTTGCGTGACAAGAGACTGGCTAACGCATGACAACAGTTCTGGAAGGATCTTTCGGTGGTCCCGTCATCTACGAGAACAAGCAGTTCGTCAGCCCCAACCAGGTGCGTGCCGAGCTGAGGCAGAAGGCGGCCAAGAGGCACAGTGCGCGCGCGGAACAGACTTCGGAGAGGTTGAACAAGAAGGGAGATCTCGGCTTGCGGACGAACGGCGGACGGAAGCAGCCAACCGACGCCCTGGACCACAAGATGCTTTTCGCGTAACGGGTGTAGGGTAATGATCATAGAAAGGAAGATACCAAGTGACACACTGGGCGAGGTACGATTATCGTGAGGGTGGGCGTGTAGTCAACGACGAGTGTGAAGCCATGTGGCAGCGGTCCTCCTGCCTGAATTAGGGTTCGCTGCGGTCATCTGTAGGCGCGGCGGTTGCGTTTCAGCAATTGCTCGTCCCTTGCTTGTTTAATCACGGCACGCAAGGTACATTTGACGCCACGGCTCGCAAAACACCGTCGGCTGATTTAGTATGGACAGGTTTCCCTGGGGATTCACATCGACATATTCATTTATTAATTGACATGCCAGGCTTGAAAGTCATGTTGACAGGCTGTTGATGTGCAAATGATGACTATCTCTCCCCTTTTCTCAATCCATCCCCCTGTCCTCCTGTCACCACTACCAAAGGCATCTGCACAATCGTTGCGCCCTGAGCATGCCCAGGCATACATTGTGACGCACATTCAGATGCGCACGGCAGGCAGATGACCACGCTCAGTCAAAGCACGACCATCATCGCCAGGCGGTGACCAGTCGTTGCGGGAACGTCGCATAATACCCGGCGCGGGAACAGAGGCATCGGCACTGCCGTCGCCATTGAACTTGGTGTTGACTTGTCGCGGGTCCCCAACAATGCTCCCAAGGTCCTCAAGCTGCTCAATGCCATCCAGCCACCGCCGTTCATTGACCGCAGAGCGGATGGCAGCTTGCAGAGACTCTTGGTCGTGGACAAAAGTCGGATGACGCAGATTGACATCGTTGACGAGTCTTTTGCGAGGGTAACTGTAGAGGTTGTCGAAGTAGAACATCAGTTCCCCCGGGTCGAGCTTGGCATATGTGTCGACGATACGTTCGCAGATGCTGCGCTCAATCATTTGTTCAAGGGGCGTGGAATCCTCGGTCTGTCGCAAGAAATTAGCCGCGCTCATGACAATTGGGTCCCATAGGCAACTCACCTCAACCATGTTCTGCTCCAGGTTGGGGTAGATGTAGTGGCGGATCATATTCTTGACCGAGACAAAGAGCGCCCTCAGCTCCATGAGATCACTGGTGGAATACATTCGCATCTGGCTGGTCCCGTATGTCATGGACGAAAGGTTCCGGCTCGCCGCCTCGGGGCCGTGGACCATCACCATGGAAGTATCGCGCATGCAGCCACCAGCGGTAGAGTGCCCGGCGGAGCTTCTCTCTTTCCCGGTCCCGCAGGATTCGACAGCTTTCCGGTTCGGCAAGCCAGTGCAAACGAGGGTACAATTCCTCCCATTTACGCACGACAGAGCAATACTTGAGCAGAGGTCGCAGGTCCCTTTGCGTGAGCACGGCGGTGCGAGGGGCGGGCAGCACGACTGCGGTGGTGGGCCTGTCGGCTCCAAGAACACTGACGAGATCTTTCGTAGCTTTGGCATTCATCGACATGCCCCCACGCGATAGAGTGAGGCCAACAGAGTCGCCGGGGTATCGTCTGTACACGATTTTGCGAGGCTGGAATGTCCCCCCATGGTCATTGAAGTCGTCATCGGAGGCTGTGTAGACCTGCAGGAGTTCATGAAATGGGCTGAAGTCCCGCTGGAGGATCGGCAGCAAGACCTGGGCTTGGTTGCGGTGCAGAAGCCCGTAGAACAAGGTGTTAGTTTGCGCCAAGAGGAAGACGCTCTCGACATCGAGATGATGGTAAATGTCAAAAAGAATCTCCAACGGAAGGCCTTCAAGGCCGTCCAAAGTCCCGGACACCTTCGGTGTGGACTTCTTGTCATGAGTGGGGATCGAAGTCCCCACTCGGGAAGAGTACGTTCCAGCCATCTTTCTACAGGACGCGGAAATCTGACGAGCAATCGTTGTGAGTGTTCTTGGTGCTGGCTGTGGATACCGCAATGTTTTCCAAGACTTCAAAAAGGACCATGCAGGCAGGTTGTATGTTTCTATCTGTGCCCACAGGTTAATCATGGAAAGGTACCCAGATCGTTGTGAGAAAACTCACATTCTCGATCAGGGCTCAGTCTTCTCTATACCACTCTATGCTTCTTCGGGCTTCAGGTGGTCACCCTTGGCTTCAATGGCTCGTCCTCAACAAGGTACTCGAGCAGCAAAGCTTCGTTGTCGTCCGATTATCGGGCGGCGTCTGGTCGTTTGTGACTGTATGCCAGCCACGAAAGACAAGATCAAAGATCAAAGGAGAGTCGGCGCTCTCAAGGTGTCCCTCGTTGATGTTGTAATCAACAAGGAACGATGGACGGACTGGCCTACTGTTCAATCACCCCAGCACTGGGGCTATCAAAAAGGCTGGCAACGCCGGAGGGTGTCATTTGTTGTTGGGCGCGCTGCTGAGGCGCGGGCACAGAAGGATTGTGACCTTTCTGGAGAGCCATGGTTGCCTACAGGATGAAGCGACGAAGGGCGTCTCAAAGATGCAAAAGAGGCACAGTAGTTGACTCAGAAGGTAAAGTTGGCTTCAGGGAGACGCGTAGTACGACGCGAGATGAGGTGACCCTCAGCCTCGGGCCCGTGCTTGCTGAGGTAATGATGTCATCGGGTGCGGACTTACTATCGCCGACTACTCAGACTGTAAACAGCCTTGTCGACCTGTCGCGTAAGGTAGGCCATCATCAACCCTCTGCAAAGAGTCGTCCGATGCATGGGGTTGAATGAGATATTTGTAATGATCACGTAGCGTCTGCCTCTGTTGGTCTTGCCATGTTCCCAATTACAAGGACTCGATTGAAGACTCAGGAAGCGCTTTCTTCCATTCCCCTGACTGTCTCCTAGCCAAAGACCTGGATCGTCCCTACTGAGCATCTCCCATACAATGCTTACCACGATTAAAACTCATGTCCAAAGTCTGTAAGGCAAAAGGTCTTCCGATCGGGGAATTGAACCCCGGTCCCCGGCGAATGTCAGAGGACTAACGCCCTGGTGATGACAAGCCGATATCCTAACCACTAGACTAATCGGAATGAATTGATGAGAAGGAGTTTTTTGGTGTAATACACAATCTCAATGGAGCAGTTGTGGGGGGAGGGCAAGTTCTTCGATCCCACTTCGCGATGGTGGGGCGGGGAGGGCCATTTCGGGGTCGATACGGTGAGCCGAGAATCGACGGGCCCCGATGCGTGCAGTAGAGGGTCATAGTCAAATGTGGCGCGGCCATCACATGTGTTAATGATATTGAGGAAAGAGAGTGACCACTTCGGGTGATCGGAAACTGGAATTCGCAAGACAACGATGAGGGTAAGCTTCGGTATGCCGTCTAAGAAAGAAGCTTGGAGTAGACAGTTGAGTAATTGATGTTCAGAATGGGGACTGTGGGGACTACAATGTAGGTAGCCAGTTACATGGTAGTGCCTCGCTAGTAAACAACTGCTGTGCAATCATCAAGCTGCATGTGCTGTAATGCAGAGGGAGGGAAACTATTTTGGTAGGTCAACACGTAAGGATGGCGCCCGGCGAATTGAGTCACATCGTCGGAAGTCCGGACGCAAGACGGGTATATGCGAGCAAGAAGCTACGACTCGATGTCGCCATCATGCATGCCTACCGGGAGGGGAAACTCGAGTATAAAGTGGTAGGTTGAACGCTCGCCGATGAGATCAAGTCACCTCACCCCGCATCTCTTAGGGACCGCTGAAATGACGAACAACGCACCAGTTGACGTGACCGATCTGTTCGGTGTGAAGGATCTCGTCGTAGTGGTGACTGGTGGGGGAAGTGGTACGGTGCTTCTAGTCATGCCATGTCGTATCACCACTGACGAGAACCGCAGGTATTGGTCTCATGATCGCTCAAGCCTTGGAAGCAAACGGGGCCATCGTTTACATTCTTGGCCGGCGCAAGGAGACGCTCGACAACGCTGCGAGCACTTCTGTGAGTCTGGTCTTGTCTCATGTTGTATATCACAGGTCAAGACCTCTCTTTACTGATAGGACATCAAGAGGCACGGCAACATCAAGCCAATCCGGGCAGATGTTACCAACAAGAAGGATCTTGAGAGAGCCGTGGAGGAGCTTACAGCAGCCCACGGGTTTGTCAATGTAGTCATCGCCAACTCAGGCATCACCGGCCCCGGGCTCGAGGGATTGCCGGCGAATCCAAGCCTGTCACAGTTCAGAGAGAAACTCTGGAGCACCAGCTCAGACGAATTCACCAACACGTTTGCTGTGAACAACACGGGCGTTTTCAACACGGTGGCGGCCTTCCTCGAGCTCTTGGATGCTGGCAATAAGCGCGGCAATGTGCAGCAGAGAAGTCAAGTCATCGCAACAGCCAGCGTTGCGTCCTATAACCGACAGCCGTTGGCAGGATATGCGTATAGCAGCTCCAAGGCCGGGGTGGTGCATCTGATGAAGGCGTTTTCGACAGCGTTGGTCCCTTACGATATTCGCTCGAATATCATTGCGCCAGGATGTAAGTGGCGTGGGAGTCCGCGCACAAGTCACACGCTGATCTCAGAGCAGTCTACCCCAGTGAAATGACCGAGGGCTTGTTCGCAAAGCAGGGCGATGAAGCATGGCCCAAGAGTATGATTCCAGAGGAAAGACCTGGCGATATACAGGATATGGCGGGTGCGGTGCTTTTCCTGGTGAGCCGCGCTGGAGGCTACATCAACGGTAACGTCCTCCTTACGGATGGCGGCCGGGTCGCAGTGGTGCCATCATCGTACTGATGTTGGGGACAATGGAAACGCGGTGTAGGCGGAGACTTTGTGAGGCAGCAAGATATCTAGCTAGGGTGCCTTTCAAGTAGCACAGTCACAATCCAATGTCAGACTGACTGATGGAGAGGACCTTGACGGCCGAGAAAGGGGCGTACAGGTGGGCCCAGCTGTCAGGCGTATCATCACGTGATATGAGCATATCCATGAGGATGGCAACGACTCTATAATGTCGAGGTCAAGGTGATGCATAGGTACCTGACTAGGTACCTAGTGTGAGGAGAAATAATGGGATAGGCCTTGAGTTCATTTACCAGAATCAGGGAAAGCGGGCATTGAACCTGGAAGAAAGAAAGAATGGTAGAAGTCGGTACAAGGCGACGAGACAGTCTGGCGGAGCCGCAGTCGAGCGTCTCACACTGTATACTTGCCTTGGCGGGCCCCAGGTGGTAGCCGCGCCTGAGCTTCCGTCCCGGATTGGCCCTCACCTTCACACTCACCTTCACCTCTCCAGTACTACCTGCGGCTCGAGCTCGATGAATGCGCTGCTATAGATTTGTCGCAAATTGTTTCGACGCAGCTTGAGCCCCCTTCTCCCTGTCGAAATAATCACACATTTTATCAAAGGTTGCGCGTCCATGGTACCCCGGAATGGGACTCACGACAAGTACACCTTAACAATCAAGCTCCTCTGGTCAAAGGAGGCCGAGTTGCATAACCAGGTCAGTCACAAGTTGCCATTTCTCTCGGTGACGCATCCTCCCATACCCGAGAGCTCTCTGTTGCATCTGTTCCTTATAATACTCTTTCGTCCTTACATCCATGTCCTGTATACAATCGCTGCGCGACCAACGCCTCTCTTGCCCGAGCTTGCGAAGAGACAGGTGTATACACTTCACCGACATCACAGACTCACTAGCTGTTCAATCATTCGACCAAGATCACCAGCCTACTATCGGCCTTCCACTTTTCGAACATACGATGTGCTGACGTACCTGCAGCCCCTCAAGCATCGGAGCGCATCAGTGGCGTGGCCCCATATCTGATCGATCCTCCTGGGAATCGGAAGCTTCCCTTCTCGAAAGCTCCCGGTCCCCGGTGTCCCAGAGGTCGACAGATGCAGAAAGACGCCCCCATGGACGGGGAGGACTGGCAGATGCGCGATGCCGCAGGATCCAACGGTGTTGCAGGGCCCCAGCCTCCTCCAGACCAGGGCCCCTCAGTCAACGGCACTACTTCCTCCGACGAGGAGTACGACGAAGGCTATGATGAGGAGTACGAGGAGTCAGAGGACGCCACTATCGTGTCTCAGCTGCGCCGGCGTGGTCAGCTTCCAACAGGATGCTGTTACGATGATCGGATGAAGCTACACTGTAACGCCGACTTTACCTCTCATCCTCACCACCCGGAGGACCCACGTCGCATAGAGGAGATCATCAAGGCTTTTAAGAAAGCTGGTTTGCTCTATACAGGGCCCGAAGCCAATGTTGCCAAGATTGTCCAGGATACCCCGACAAAGTACATGTGGCGCATCGCGGCCCGCGAAGCAGCCAAGGAAGAGATTCTCCTCGCGCATACCCCAGATCACTTTGCCTGGGTAGAGAACCTATCGACCATGTCCTACACCGAACTTCGTGCCCTCAGTGTAGAGCTCGACAAGGGCCGTGCCTCTCTCTACGTCGGCAGTCTGTCCTTTCCGGCGGCACTGCTATCGTGTGGGGGCGCCATCGACACATGCAAGCAGGTTGTCGAGAGCAATGTCAAGAACGCCTTCGCTGTCATCCGGCCGCCAGGACACCATGCCGAGTACGACCAGTCTCTCGGGTTTTGTTTCTTCAACAACGTCCCAGTTGCTGTCAAGGTCTGCCAGCAGGAATACCCCGAAATCTGCCGCAAGGTCCTCGTGCTCGACTGGGACGTTCATCACGGCAACGGCATTCAAAACATCTTCTACCAAGATCCTAACGTTCTCTACATATCAATACACGTCTACGAGAACGGCCAGTTCTACCCTGGCCAGCCTGAAAACCCCATGGTACCGGATGGTGGCATGGAGCATTGCGGTACCGGTCCTGGTCTCGGCAAGAACATCAACATCGGCTGGCACGCGCAAGGCATGGGTGACGGCGAATACATGGCTGCCTTCCAGAAGATCATCATGCCCATCGCAAAGGAGTTCAACCCTGATCTCGTAGTCATCTCGGCAGGTTTCGATGCTGCTGACGGCGACGAGCTCGGTGGCTGCTTCGTAACCGCCCCCCATGCTACGCCCACATGACGCACATGCTCATGTCTCTGGCCCGACGGCAAGCTCGCCGTGTGTCTCGAAGGTGGCTACAACCTACGGGCGATATCAACATCCGCGGTCGCCGTCGCCCGGACGCTCATGGGCGAACCGCCCCCTAGAATGGAGATCCCCAAAATCAACCGGGATGCGGCTAGAGTCTTGGCCACGGTCCAAGCATACCAAGCGCCGTACTGGGAGTGCATGCGGCCCGGCATCGTCAATGTGGCTGATATCCAGGACCAGCATGCGACGCGCTTGCACGACCACATTAGGCTCGGACAGCGACAGGACCTCGCGACGCGTCACAGCATGATCCCGCTTTACATCCAGCGAGACGTACTTTTCAAGGCGTATGAGAACCAAGTGCTGGTGACGCCAAACTTGCAAGAAACAGAACGTCTTCTGGTTATTCTGCATGACCCGTATGTCATCATGCCCTACTGGTAAACTGCTTTACTGACCCTACAGGCCGCAACTGGTCGCCCAACCCGATTCTCATGACAACCATCTGGAGTCCCACAACGCGTGGATTGTAAGCCTAGTTGGAGGTCTACTGAAATGGCTGATGCTGACTCGGATCCTCACAGGTTGATCCGGTCGTTGAGTACATCGACTGGGCAGTCAGCCAGGGTTTCGGCGTCATGGACATAAACGTTCCAGCCTCGTTGCCTCAAGAAGAAGTGAGTCCTTGAGAGGGCAGCCACACACCATGCACTCCATGCTGACGCAGCTCAGGACACGGACCCTTTCATTCCTCGCTCGCCAGAGAAGATCATGCAAGCCCAATTGCAGGAGTTGGTCTGTTATCTGTGGGACAATTACATCCAGCTTTACGAGAACGCTACAGAGATCTTCTTGATGGGTGTAGGTAATGCCTACCTCGGAGTCAAGGTCCTCCTCATGGGCAGAGGTATGTTTGAGTGCGAGATCAGGATAAGCCGACAGTGCTAACGAGTGACAGACTGTAAGCCACGCATTACAGGTGTCGTCAACTTTGTCACGGGCACGCTCCGTCCCGTCAAGTCAGACGTGGATCCAGATCTGTCAGCCTGGTACAAGGAGCACTCACAGGTGTACATCGCGAGCGACCATTTATGCTGGAAGAGTGAGGACTTGACGCGAAAGGTGCAGAAGCGGCGATTTGGCTCGGTCAAGCGGAGCCCGACCAACGGCCTCAGTAAGATGATGCAGCTCCACGCCGAAGACGTCCATGCCTGGATCTTGCAAGCCATTGCCAGCAACAAACCTGAGACGACAGACGATGAGAAGATGTCATGAGGTAGAGGTAGAGAGTCGATATTGGAGACTGAAGAGAATATCGCTGCAAGTGGAATGTGGCCGGGCGATGGAGTTGGTTTGCGAGGTCATTTCTGCACTACGAAGGGGATGGGTAGTTTGTGCGTATACACCTAGTGGCTTCCGTCAAGCATTTCGTCATGGAATTGACTGGACTTTTTGAGAGGCACCCCTTGACTTTCTGCTGTTGCCATTGAACAGTATAAAGAAATGTGAACACAGACGTGACCATCAGTTGCGAACAGGTGTAAGACGGTACCGTACCACTGGCAGTTATACGGACCGCTGCCGTTTCCTTATCGGCGCGTCTGATAAGACCCCTGCTCCTTCCTTACAGGGAAAAGTTTCCCTGACGCGGCGATCCACTCTCAGGAACCTCAACGACTTGGTCCTCTCTACCTTGTCAGCCCGCCATACCTCGACGAAACCGCGCTCAAACTACAAACTCCGCCGCGAACACGTCTGCTCGACTACCGAACACCATTGCGGCATCAACTTTACGAAACCCACCGTGTGAAGAAGACCGACACACCACTTGTGCGAAGCACCATCGTGCTGACCAAACGATGGATCGCGATCGCAGGAACCGGTAAGCAGCCTCATGGCGCCTTGCACTCCGGCCGCATCTCCCCAAAAGGCCTGCCTGTTCCCATACTCATGTGTGCACTTCAGGTTCGAGGATGGAGAGGTCACTAGATATGGCGCCGGCGAATCATGGCGGCCCTTTCCCCGCGGCGATCATTCGCCCCGGAGAGCCCGCAGCCCGCCTCCCCCCCGAGACCGTGACCGCGACTGGGACCGCGACCGTGAGCGAGACAGGGATCGAGACCGCGACCGAGATCGAGACGTCAGGGACCGCGGCAGGGACAGAGAGCGACCGCGGAGCCCGCCCCTCATCTCGGACAGCTACGTGCCCGGCCGGTCCCCAGGGCGGCCTGGCCACTCGCCGCCGCCGAGGATGGGTCGTTCACCACCGAGACCTGGGAGAACACCACCGAGACCTGGGAGATCACCCCTCAGGACTGGAAGATCACCCTCGAGGCCTGTGAGATCACCCCTCAGACCTGGAAGATCACCTCCGAGGCTTGGGAGGTCACCGCTGAGGCCTGGTCGATCGCCACCAAGACCAGGAAGGTCACCGCCGCGTATCGGGAGATCGCCGCCCAGAATGGGGCGCTCACCGTTGCGCCGAAGGTCTAGAAGTGCAGAGCGCTTTCGTCCGTTGAGGGATCGGTCGCCTCGTGGGGGTGGTGATAGTTGGAGGCGGAGGGAGAGGAGTCGCAGCCTGCAACGGCGCCCGTCACCGCCGCCCAGACGTAGTCCATCTGGGAGGCGAACACCTTTGGGCAGGTCGCCCGTCATGAGGCATGATCGTATGGACAGGCCCAGGTCGCCGATGAGGCGTGACAACAGGGACAGACCGTTTGAGCGACGGGATGACAGGTATGAAACTCGTTCTGTCACTCACTAGCTGTGATCGCGCTAACAGCTGTGTCAGGAGACGATCCCGCTCCCCTTTCATTCGTGACAGAGGCTTTCCCGACAGATCGCCCATGAGAAGATCTCCTGGGCCTCGTGGCGGATTCCGGGCCCGTTCGCGAAGCCCAAGCCGCCGCGGAGGCGAGAGATATCAGTCAGGTCCATTCAACAGGCGCCCATCGCCGCCGCGGGATTCGGCTATGCCGTCCGCTCTGAACTCACGCTCAGCATCTGGGAAATCCTCTCCTCACCCACAACCCGCGCGGCCTCGCTCGCGTCCCCACTCCCGAGAACGGGAACGTACGCCTCAGCAGCCCAGCAACGCGACCTCCGTCGCGATTCGAGATGGTCCAAAACCCGCACCACAGGAACCTCCGCCTCCTGCTGCCTCGGCCGCCCGATCGCCGCCCCGGGGCAAGTCGCCGCCCCGTGGCAAGTCGCCTCCTCGCGGTAAGACGCCCCCACGCGGACCAGCCGCTCTGCGCGCGCCACCTACCGGTCCTGCAGCCAGCCGAAACTTCACCGCACCCGCAGCTTCGCCATCCTCCACTCCTGCCCCTCGGGCCCAGCCAGCCCCCAGTGGCCCTCCGCCGCGCGCCGAAGTCACGAGCCCGACCATCCCTCCCGCCGGCCCACGAGGCTACGTCGCGCAGCCCCGAGGCGGTAGCTTCAGCAACCGCGGCCGCGGGAGCTGGTCCAACGGACCCCCTCCCTCACGGCACAGCACCCCATCACTTCGCCTTCGCCCACGCTCGGCCAGGGTAACGG